CCCCCCCCCCCCCCCTTTATCATGGTAAAAGGACAGTTTGTCAGTTCAAAGTAAATGATGGTCTAAAGTCACGATGCTAATTATTCCCCAGATTCTCACGCCAATGAGGCAGGAAAAAAATAAAAAATCCCTGTAGGCTAGTTTAAAGTCGGCATGAGGACTGTGTAATCTAACCAACAGGATTGATCCAGGTCAGGCATTAAAGGCTAAAATGGATTAAACAAAAGACAGCTCCCCTTGTAACAAGAAGGGGAAACTTCAAAGGTGGGATTTGTTCTTGTTATGACAAAGGAAGTGGATTTACAAAGTGCCTTGAGGCACACCCCTCTGCGGCTTTCAATTTGCTTGCCTCGGTAAGAAGAGGCAGGACAAGTGCGGGGTGTTTTGTGCGGGGAGCTCCAAGAGTCCTCCTCAGGGTACGAACATTAGATTAAGAGGATCAGATCGGCGCTGCTTTTTCTTGTCTGGTTTGCCTTTGTTTTTAAAGAAGACGAGCGCAGCGTCTCCTCTCCAGAGGACGTGCCCGCACCTTCCGGCCTCGCGCTGCCCGTGCGAACAACCGCAGCAGCCGGGGAAGAGACCGGGCGACGCGGGGCTGGAGAGCGCTACGGCTCCGCTTTGCTTTTAAGTTAAAGGCTTTATATTTGGAGGGAGCTTTCCCCAAAGCGACAGTTGTGGCATTGCGGTGCAGCTCTCGTCCAAACGCCGGTGTAACGGCGGCTGCTTCTGCCGCGGTTCTGCTCCCTGAGTGCATCGGGAGATGCAGCTGCCATCTTCAGGGAGCAAGACTGAGCTTTCTCTGCCACGGGCCCTGTACTTTGCTGGCCAGGGTGTATTCCTGGTTTCCCTGGGTGCTTAATGAGTCTGGTACAGCTGCAGCTCTGCAAGCGTGGAGCTTTAGGCCAGGCGTTGGTGACTCCTATGCTTCAAGTTTGGCCTTGGTTCAGTTCCACTGTCAGGCAAGACGGCGGCGACCGCTACCCCAGGCCATCCATGGAGGAGCGCACTGGAGCCTCTTCCTCTTCTGCCTCCCCACTGGAAGGGACGAAGCTACCAGTGAAGAGCTCTGCTTGGCTCTAACCAAGAGCTTGGTCGCGCCAGCAGACGTGCTCTTAGTGGCAGGGCGAGCTTGCGCTGGCCGGGGAGAGAATGTGGGTTGGGGAGAGAGAGAGCACCCATAGGTGTTGGCTGGGTGATGGTGGCACTGAGGGGCTTGCTGGGGTGGGGGGAGAAAAAGGAGGCGTGGGTGTAGGGTGGGTGGCAAGGATGTAGGCAGGGCAGGAATAAGGAGAGCTGAGGGATACCACTGGAAGATGACCCCGCTGTCTGAGCTAAGCCACATGTGAGCAGCAGAGCGTGGGGTGGGAAGGACTCATCCCATGGCACCCCGGAGATCAGGAGGAGCTGGTGGTTTGCAATCCCCCGTGTTCATGGGAGAACAAATCCCCTTTTCTTAGCATGCCCATGCTCTGCTCAAACACACCAAGGCAATGAGATGCTGGGAACTGCCTCCCAAGCCATGCTTCCCTTCCCAGTGCTGCTTACTGCGTACACCCTGCCATGGGTGGGCAGGGCACCCAATGGTGAACAGAAACAGTGCTCTGTGCTTTGTTCCTGAGCTGAACTGAGCATTATCTCTGCTCTCTGAAATCCCCCCTGGCTGGAGTTAATTGCCCTTCCACGGTGAGAGAAAGCAACAGGAGACCAGGTGTCCTTGCAGGGGGATGCTGCAGCTCATTCTTCGCAGACATCTGGCAGTATCTCAAGGTGATGATGGTCCTGTGTTGCTGTCACCTGCTTTGCTGGAAGTGTGTGCTGATATTTGGGTTTTCAGGTGGGTTTCACAAGTAACCCTCTCAGCTGAAGCCCTGACTCGGCATGGCGCTTCCAAAGAGCTATGCCGGCGGCAGAAGCCAGGAACACACTTCAGTAGTCAGCTGAACTGGGGCCTGGGTCATTTAAATAGAGTCGACTTAAAACTTGTGAGGCTGGATAAACTTGGGAGAACATGCTGGAGGGCATCATCTTGCGCTAGTAGGGCAGCGGAGTTGATTTAGTAGCTTTTTGCCACCTTTCATTTCTGGCACCCAAAGAGCAGAAATGACCCAGCGGCAAAAGAGGCACTTGGATTGCATCATTTTGCTATTGCTTTGAAAGAAAGGGCCCATGGATTTAATGTGGTATTGCTCGATAATTAGCTCTCTCTCTTTTTTGCAAGTATTCCTCACCAAAGCCAGACTAATTCTATTAGAAAATGAAGCCACAATATTGCACATCACTGAGGCTACTATATTTCTATTTAATTATCCAGGTAATGTAATTATGCAATCAACTCTAATCTGATATCAAGAGGAAAGGTTTCCAGTTTTGCCTAGTGAAAGGACTGTGGCAATTAAATGTGACACACTCAATTACTGAAATGTGAACGCGACTTTGGGAAACTCTGTTCCTGGCCATGCATGTCCTGTATATTAAACTCGTAGATCTAAGCTATGACTAATTTATTTGTGGACAGAGAAGCAGCACTTCTTATCTTATATAATGCCTCATAATGATAACTACACTCATTATAGTACACAAGGTTTGGTGGCACATTGCATAAGCCTGACTTGAAATATCATTCACATTTAATATGGAAGCGAAGTCAGGGTTCAGGAAGGATTTAGACCTTTCTTAGTCAAAGTGAATGTCTTTTTATCCCATTGTAGAGATGCTGTGGTTGATGCCCTTGGCCCAGGTGGCTAACTAGAAAAAGATCCTCATTTGGTCATTTTCTGTATGACTTGCAGATTTTGTCTTGCAGTGGAACGAAAAATGTGCAGACACCTTATCCTAGGGGTTTATGCAGTGCATCCAGGCCTGGCAGTTCTTGACAACAACAGACCAGAGTAGGATCGAGGGGCCCAAACACCAGCTCGGTACTTAGGAGTGTTGAGAATACAACCCAAGTCTCCCACTGGCCTGTGGTAGGACTCCCCCCTTCCTTTCCCCTATGTCTCCTTCCTTCCTTTCTGTATTGTCTATTTAGACTGAAATGTTTTGAGGAAGAACTGCTCGGTGCTGTGGATCTGTACAGTGCCTAGAACAATATGGTCCTCAGTCATAGTTGGGATGTCAGACTATTGCAGTATGGCTGTTACTAACCATGTAACCAGGGATCTTTGTTTTATCTGTTAAAAAAATCCCAAGTTCTCTCATAAAAAAGCCTGAATGCTCTGATTAAAAACCTTAAAATCCATGTTTTTCCATGATTAAAATGAAATGCCACTATCTATCTATCTGTCTGTCTGTCTGTCTGTCTATAAAGGTTGTGTGAAGCTTTGCCCCGATTCGATCTGGTGGAGATTTGGCCTGATTCGGTGGCTGAATCTCCGAATCT